CCCCACAGGATACAGTTTTTATCAAAGAGATAGCCATACAAGATGGGGCTTGGGATCGAGCCAAGAGTACGGAAGAAAACAAATTGGAGACCTAATGCATAAGCACGTTGATTGTAAGGGACACATCTGAAACGATAAGTATGAATATACTTTATATTAGAATAATTGAAACATAAGACCTGTGAAATGAAGTCACAAAACCGTGAAATGGTAGCTCAAAAACCATGAAATAGACGCAAAAAAAAAAACGTTAAATGATTACCTCAGGATTACAGTTTTTGCCGGAATGGCTTTCAGGAAGACGGTTAAAAGTAAAATCAGGATCACACATAAAAATGCTATGAAGTTGATGCAGCCTTTACCCCGATCACAATACCCTTTCACTGATAATTGTTGAGTTGCGTTAGCAGGAATACAGGTGCAGTTGGTGTAAATCTGTCGAATATAATAGACGAATAAATATTTTTCTGAAATATGGGAAAACATGGGAAAATATGGGAAATGGGAAACTAAGTTCACTGGAAAAAATCGCGCGCTTTAAAGGTTGTAAATTTTGATGTAAATATGATGTAAGTGTCCAAAATTCTGTAAATTTGATGCAAATGATTTCCATTAAATTTACAGAATTTTGGACACTTACATCATATTTACATCAAATTTACAACCTTTTAAAGTGCGCGATTTTTTCCAGTGGTTGTTGCACTATATCGATAACGTCCAAAATCAGGCTCCCAAGCACTGGAAACACACAATAACTGTGTACTTTTATTTTTTATTTGTTCACAAAAAAGCATAAGTCAACYACTTTTAGGGCGACATTTTCGGTCCCATAAAAAATTTGAGGGCTAGCCTGATAAGCAGGCTCTCTCGAAGGGACTGAGACGCAGAGAAGTGCACCTCAATTCCATTAAGGCCCGTTTACACCTGCGATTTTTGCAGCGCGATTTTCGCGCGACAATCGCCACTTTGTTCTCGCGCACTTCAAATCGTACGTGTAAACCGCACTGCGATTGTCGCGGCGATCAACCATGCTCGAAATTCAGGCGATTGTCGCGCGACAATCGCGCTTCAAAAATCGCAAGTGTAAACGGGCCTTTAGAGGGAGCCTGGTAAGTTATTCYAGGACCACAACTCCCACCATGATTTGRTGCACAAAATAGCYTCYTCGKACATTGCATWTTAYGTGTAAACAACTGTAAATAACCGAATAACTCACATTGGAGTTGATTTTATGCGAGGTACAGCCTGCATGACATGGTGAAATYTACGTKAGGTCATCCGATCCACATACTGGATTAAAGTACTCCATAGAACACTTGCAGTCAACGTTYCATKCMGCTTGACCAACGCCAATGTCTAAACTAAAGTTGAAAAAGATGAATAAGTTTATTATTGTCAGTATTGTAGTATTTTATCATCATGCTTGAATTGATATCAGCGCTGCACTGGACTCTAGAGGAGTAGAGAAAACGACCGCGCGTGCAGGGTTTATGTCTAAAATTCAGTCGTAAGACAGACCGTA